ATGATGATCACGTCTGACGCATAAAGAGAACTCTAAATATTACTCAAGCCTCTGTGGACGTTCTAACTGGAGATGCTGATGGTTCGATCGGGTTGGGGCTCGAACCAATAGAAGCGGTCTACTGGCTTTGAGCCCCAAGCCACTCCCAGATTGACTTGGCCATCAAACCCGGCGATAGCCCAGCTTTCACATCCAAGATGCATTCGATGTGAATATGGCGAGGGCAGGAGACAGTGGTAACCCTTACGCCTGCGTCGCTGACCGTTTTTGCGAAAACCTCGATATCATCGCGGAACACCTCAGCCTCGCCCACCAAAATCAAGAGTTCATGTACGGGAGTATTTTGCCACCAGCCCACTCCGGCACGCATGGGCTCTGTGTATTCATTGCGGATGGGAGAAGATGCATATTCATCAGCCCATTCGAGGATTTGATGGGCTAGGATCATATCCGTCGCGACATTATGTTTATATGATTGGGATTGAGCTGAGAAGCTAACCCAAGGTGATATCAAGAAGGCGCCAAGGAGGGGAGACTGTAGCTTTACGATAGGGAATGGGGGTGCTGGGTGGTTAATTAACGAAAGCACAGCGAGGACCAGGTTTCAGCCCGCCGAGTCACCGCCCAGGGTTATCTGTGCGTCCATGTTCAGCTTACATCTCGTGGATGAAGAGAAATAAAGAAAGACCGACATTCTCTGGACGATAACCTTTGTTCAGGAGATATTGTAGAGCCGCTAGAGCTTGCTTGGGTTGCGTGGGGTATCTGAACTCTGGTGTCAAACCTGCCAGGGATTAGTTCTGAGCGTAAATGATGGTCAAGTTCGAATCAACTCACCATACTCCAGACAGACTATAGCTTCCTTGCGGCCGTCTTCAGTGAGGCGTCGTTGACAGTCCACTGGGAATTTCACGTGGGCTCCATCTGTCGGTAGGCTAAATCCGCCTCCTACTCTAGCATTAGTAACAGTAAAGGTCATAGATTACATTGTATCTCGGTAGAAGTTGGCGGACCATGGAAGTAAAGAATGATGCTATCGGTATCCGCTGTTCCAATCCAGTGTAGCCTGGCGCCTGGTGCATCCGGATTGGCTTCTTCCGTCCAGCTTGCTAAGCATTCCTCTGCAGCGTGACGGATGGCAAGTCCGGTAGGAATGAACAACGCCCTGACGTATATTAGTGAATGCACTTGAATTGAAGAAGTGGTGTATGCACTTCATCTCTTGAACAGAAAAATATCGACATATTTCGTTGGCGATTCGGTTGCGTTTCTCATGACGATAAGAATGTGTTGAGGCGCGATCTTGAAAAAGGACGGCGATCGACTCATAAGCCGTGTAGGCAACTGTGTTTTGTAAGCTTTCATTCCAGCAAGCTTATGAAGCAACCACAGAAGCCCACCAATCCATAGTAAACTGGCCATTGTGACCGCTGTTTGAGTAACGTCGGAGTTTGTCCAGATTGCATGCAAGTTTTGAAGCTAGGAATTAGAAGACACAAGACTTGATGCGTATTTGGTCCATTCCCTTTTTGAATCTCTCCCAGACCCAGGCTCCAAGATAATATTAACTACTTTAGGTCTGACGGGACTGCCCTGCCTCGGTACCCTGTCTCCGCCGGCCGCTTTCTAGCGGAGCATGTTGCTAACGGGGTAAGAAAGGTAAGAGGTTGAAATTTACCCCAGATTTCGGGAACCCTGGATAATATATAAAGCGGGGCAATAGGAGAGAAAGCGGGGTAGTGGGAGAAAGGGAGGGTAAGATATTATAAAGTAAATAAAAACTATAAAAACTATTAAATAGAAT